CTTATACATAAATGTATTTTTCTAACTTGGTCTATCTTCTGGAAGATCCATGGGCAGCCAGATATTGCATAAATCCATCAAATGCATTGATTTTTTGAGTCCAATTGAAGTTGTCTTTTTTCCCCCCTGTAATTTAGTCAGGTTGCATAAACACTAATACTTTTTTACTGTACTATTGTGCTGCAGCTGGTGGCTTTTGGTCATAGCACAGTGGAAATCTGGACTGATGCTCAACACAAGGGGGTCTATTTATAAGCAATTTGCAGAGCCATTTACCCTGCAAATCCCCATGAATGTTTGTTCTGTGAGAATAGAAGCAAAGACGAACATTATTAGCATATTTTCTTCTAAGGCCGAATGTAACATTTCGAACATGCTGCATTATGACCACTTCATGGAGCGGAGGAGCATAGGAAATGATCATCTAGTCTAGTAGCCATAATGCAGTATTACATCACATTACACTTGACCTGAAAAGAGAATGCACTAAGAACGTTTGTCTTTGCATCTATTCCCACAGAACAATTGTTCCCACAGATTCACAGGGTGAATAGCTGTGCATGTTGTTTTATAAATAGTCCCCTTAGTAAAGCAATATAGGTCTCCAGCAGTCTGACCAGCTCAAGCAAATAGTCAGTTTTTAGGTTACTGATCAACGGCTGATGAAATGTGATTGGTTGGTGTATTGAATATGTCTGACACTAATAGCCATATGAGAAGACTGACTGCATCGTTCTCTCTGCAGACATGTTTCGTCTACTGTTGCTGCTTCTGTTGGGAACAGTCTATGCTCAGGAACCCGGTGAGCTGACAATCTTTATATATCACAGCAATATCTGAATTTTCAAGAACTATTCCTTTTTTCCAATATTTATACATGCTGTGTCATATTTCTCCTGACCATATTCATATAACTGTATATCTTTATTTGTGTGCCCTCTAGTGGTCATTTATTGGTAAAACATGCAATCAGCAGATAGCCATATGTCAGACTGTGCAATGGCTATTATTATTATGATTACATAGTATTTATATAGCGCCAACAGTTTGCGCAGCGCTTTACAATATAAGGAAGACATTACAGTTACAATACAATTCAAGACATGATGGTTAGGAGGGCCCTGCCCCTGAGGGCTTACAATCTAAAAGATGAATAAATTCATCAGAGCTGCCACTCTGCAGGCTGGATTTTTTATTAACTCAAAGCCCAGCTGAACTTTCAGTTTTCAATCAAATAAATATATTTTAGGTGCATCAAAACAAAAGGTGTTCAAAGCCTTATCATTTGTTTTCTTTAGTAATCCGCCATCGCCTGAATAGAAAAGCCTGTCCCTTGCCTGCATTCTGCAGAGAAAGACTCTTGCTCTCCGTGTGGAAGCAGTGGTCTCTCTGTGGAGGCCCAGCACACCCCATGCTGTGGCTAATTTTTTTAAAGACAACATACTGTAAGACTTTGCACACGTTGAGCCTGATAAACTGTACATGAGGCAGTGCAGGGTGCTGCTCCATATATATGTATGGCCACAGAGCACCTTATACTGTACACTAGACATGTGCGATGCGTTTTACTCCGAAACGAAATTCGGACATTCGGATGTATCCGAATTCCAGATATAACGAATGCAAATGAATCCGAATTTCCGTTTCCAAAATGCGTTAGCGTTAGTGCGTTCGAACGTTCGTTTAGTTTTCGTTTCCAATTCGTTTAGTTCGTTCGGTGCAGCAAAGTGACATTAGAGAAGGAGAAAAAAAAATTCCCCCTCAAATGTCACTTTGCTGAAATGAACGAACGAATGCACGAAACGAATAAGAAAACGAACTCCCGCTAACTAATTTTGTCCAAATCCAAATTGCCTTTCACACCCGGATCCCAAAAACGAAATAACACAAAATCCGAATCAAAACGAAACGAAACTAAACAATTTTTTTGCAAGTGCACATGACTACTGTACACAAAGGTCCCTTAAGGTGCCCATACACTGTGCGATTATCCCGTGATCGTACTATAATCGCACAGTGTATGGAAGACACGCAACCGTTTTTACTGTACGGTCGCACGTCTTTTGTCTAAGGAGCATGCTAGAAAACCAGCTGAGAATCGTACGATTTGCGGCTGGTTTTTAGCATGATCGTAAGATCAATGCCGCACGGGCCAGTGTGCGCACGTGCACACTGCCCGTTCAGCATTGCGGTCATCGGAAGCCAGCCTCTCAGGGGGGCGGGCTTGCGATGATCGCAAGTACGATCTGCCTGTCCAAGATGGGCAGATCGTACGTTTTTTTAATTACTTTACAACCTCTAAGGTCTTGCGATGGTTGTAAAGTGTATGGCCACCTTTAGGGACCTCTGTTTAATAGGTCAATATTATGCAGTGACAGTGCACACCTGGCATGCTGCCACAATGCATGCGGTGATACAGCAAGATATACAGTAAACTCGCTGTTATCCGGCATCCACAGGCATTGGTAGATTCTGGATAAATGTAGTTTGAATCTATCTTTGCACTTCCCCTTCCATGCAGTAAACCAGAGACCAATTGGCCCAGCGAGATCCTGGTGTGGTTTGGCATGAACTGAATTCCTAATTTTTTTAAACGTACATATTTTTCAGAAGATTTTTTCCAAAATGATGCCGGTGAACTAATTGATCCAAGTGGCCAGGAGGGTGACGAGGACGACATGCCCAATGACCTAGAGGAAGCTGATCTTAATGAGGGAAGGTTTGAGAAGTGCCAGAACACCTCCCTGGAAATAAAGGCAGAAGACTCAGATAACGCTGGCTGCCCTTACATTGTGCATACCTACCGAAGGAGATTCGCAATTGCCCAGGTGCGTAAACATAATGCGCTGTGTTTAGGAATGTGGACACACCCAGCGGAGGAGGCAACACATGGAGGCTTGGGCAGAAATAGCCAATTAGATCCCAGCTGCCATTTTCCGCCTGCAGAAGGCATCTGAGGGGCTTCAATAGACAACATTTTCCTTTTTCAGTGGAGCTTTTATTTTTCACATAGGATAGACTGGGGAAATATTAGAAGCCACATCGGATTTTATTATTGTTTGCCGTGGAAATTTCCTGTCACCAGGAAAAGAAGTGAACAAAATCTACGAGGTCATAGAAAGGCTTCAAATCTTGATAACATTTTCCCACTCTACTAATTGAAAATGTTATTACTGCTGTCTGCGTCCCCATCCGAAACACAATCTTTCACTTCCTGTCTTAATAAGCATCGAAGCAGGAAGAGGTTTTTTTTTTTGTCTTGCATTTCCTGTTGTAGTGACATAAGCAGCCGTCACTGCAATAGATGTCTCCAATGGAAGATTTCACCTCTCATCCTGTTCTGTTGACACCTGTAAAATGTTGTCTTTCCCATAACTTTCTGCCCCAGTGATGAAGGTCGCCATGACAAATAGAGAGGATTTATCTTCTCCACAATGACAAAAATCTGACAGAGGCTTCCTTCTGTGCTCTACTAATAAAAGTGCCTTGGTTGCTGTTTTATATGTCCCCATTGAGATTCTTCTCAATTCCTGTTCTCGTGACCACACAGGAGGTCAGGGGAATCTTTCCAGAGAGGTCACATTTCCCTCCTTCTGTGCATGTGTGGAAAAATTCCATACATCCCTATGGAGAGGCCACCTACAGTTGCTAATGTTGGGTATGTGTTTAGATGAAGCACTGAGATCTTGAGGAATGTTGGATTAAGTTTTATATACTTAGGAGAACATAACATCAGAATACAGAATTAAACAGCATATAGAGAGAACGCCCTGTATATCATAAGTATACATATAGAAAACTAACATAGACTAGCATTGCACTACAGCGCCATCTACAGCTCAAAATATGTAAATGTAGAATGTCAGTAATATGCTGTTGTATTTCCAACAGCTAATTGGGTACCATTAGAGTGTGCAGTAATATCTATGTGTCTCCCCATTGGCCAAACATGGACCTCACAGAAGTATGGACAGTTACACATAAGACTTTGAAGCTGGGGTGGGAGGGGTTAAAGGTTACCTTTACAAAGGTAATGGTATCCTTTAGGCCGGTTCTAATGCACCCCAACATACTTTTCCCGATGTACCAATATTTAGCATTATTTCATGCATATGTGTGTACAAATAGACCACCAAAATACATCTCAGGAAATTTCAGCAAACATTTTTGCATATTCATACCTTAAAAAGGTTTCCATATCCTTTCCTTTCTTACTGCTAAGTGTGAGCAACTAGAGCAACCGTCTTACTATCCCCACCTGAGCTATTTCCCTCATAAGGGACTCCACGGTTGCTGACATACTCTCTATGCCTCATGTCTTACTAGAGAGACCCAGTCAGCGGGGTCACCAAGTGAAAACCACTCACCTGCTTCTACTGTGTTGCTCTTTTGCTTGCTGGACCTATGAGGTGTCCCTTCTTCAGTGGCAATAGAGATTCCACAGAGTTTTAGCCAGCGAGAGAAAGAGAGGTTATGCAGAAGAAGTTAAGCGTTCTATTTCTCTTTTGTTAGTCTGCCCAAAGACTTTTATTGGCTGCTGGGAACCAGATTCAATTGATGTAACACTGAGATTATTCAGGTATTAATAATGAAGAGGAACTTTTCTACTACCCCAGTCAGTTTAAAAAAATGGTGAGGAAAACATCAATTTCATTCAAATAGAAGGATGGTAAGAGTATGCAATATAGTCTCCTATTGTATTTGCAATGTAAATAGTTCCCCTGTGGTCTCATTGTATTAATATGATGTTGAACTGAGCTCATTTACATTATATAGTTTTATGTTGCCTCCCCAGAAAATCTGCAGACGTCGCAGAGGGAATCTGTGCACCGTATCAAATGCCTGCGTTAACAGCCAACTGAAAACTCTTGGCCAGAACTCTAGGCTGAAGCTTGCATGGATTGGTGTCTGGAAACCTAAACGTGTAAGTAACAGTGACATGGTTGCATCCTGGATTCAATTCTGTTAAAAAAAAAATGAAAACATAAAACAAATTAATAAAAAACGAACCAAAAGGTTAAACAAAGTCTTACTTTTGCATGAGTGTGAACGGTTTGGAACAGTGTCCGTGTCCGACCAATGAAGACCCAGACTATTGCGCTGTGAGCAGTGGTCCGGCACAGTGTGCTGCCAGCATAATATTAATATAAAAAAAATAAGTTAAAAAATAAAAGACTCAAATCCTAATGTCTGAATGTGGCATTTCTTGACAAGCAAGGGTTCTGCATGTTTATCAGTGGTATTAAATATTGTAATTTACCTGTGGGGAGGCTGACATGAATGTGTTTTTTTTTCAACGTTCTTCTTTCAGTGTCAGGGATATCGCAATGTTAATGGAAGCTGTTTAAGCTATTCCAACTTTGGCTGGGGACAGAGAAAGACTAGAGGAAGGTGGTGTGTTGCCATTAATGTATCAAGTAAGTACTAATGGAATGAAATCAGCAGCTGGTCCTTGGGTAACTAAATATCAGTAACAGGTTAGCTTCGATGACCCCCCTCTTCCTTATATAGCACCACATACTCACCTACCTACGCCCCCTGCCATTCTGTTCAGCCATTGGGAGCAAAGTAAATTATCGGCATTTCCAGGTGTGCAGGAATACGTGAATCACTCAGTGTGACAGTCAGGGCCAGATTTCCCACAAGGCCACCAAGGCCCGGCGTCAGGGCAGCAGGAAGTAGAGGGTCAGCAGGGGTGTGGAATTCCTATCGCCTGGCACCTGGCACATGCAGTTCTGGGCGTTGAGCTGGCAGTTTTCTTATACATTTAGCCGTGCTTCGGTTAAGCAGGCCTAAATGTAGAGCAGTGATGTCGCCGAGATCACTTGTATGCAATCTGCATACAATAAAATAAAATACAAATGAATACAAAAATAAATAAAAAATAATAATAAATACAAATTAAATAAAAAAAGTCTTAA